TATTTTGGGAAATGGAAGCTGAACCCAAGAATCAATCAAAAATATTATCGCAAGAAGAAGAAGATTGTGATAGGTTTTATGCAAAAACAACGTGCAGAGACTCGCAGGGCCGTTATATAGTGCGACTTCCATTTAAACACCAAAATGTCGAGTTTGAGAGTTCTAAATTGATCGCAGAGAAAAGGCTTAGATCATTAGAATCTAGATTCAATAAGAATGAATCTTTGAAAAGGAACTACGCTAAGGTAATCAAAGAATACGAAGACTTAAATCATATGGAGATCGTTCCAGAGATGGAACAAAATGGAAACAAATCTTTCTTTCTTCCACATCACGCTGTCATTAGAGATGACAAAAACACGACCAAGATTCGAGTCGTATTCGATGCATCCTGTAAAGATCAAAATGGTAACTCCCTAAATGATGCTCTTATGATAGGGCCAACCCTACAGTCAGAATTAAGGCATTTACTGATAAGGTGGAGAAAATACCCTATTTGCTTGGCAGCTGACATCGTTAAGATGTACTGTCAAGTCAAAGTGGCTGGTCAAGATACAGATTACCAACGGTTGTTATGGTGTAATCAGTGGAATGGTGAGGCTGAGGATAACGAAAATGCAGAAGCTACTAGAAAATCAAAGGCAAGTATACAGGAATATCGTTTATTGCGACTAACATTCGGAACCGCTTCAGCGCCCTATTTGGCAGTAAAGACTCTGCAACAACTGGCTCGTGACGAAGGTGCACTGTATCCTGAAACAGCTAAAAAATCGTTAGTGATTTTTATGTGGATGACTTGCTATCGGGCTGTCAAACAGTGGAAGAAGGATTACAAATTTATAGAGAATTGATTGATATTGCCAAAAAAAATGGAGGGTTTGAACTTCAAAAGTGGATGACAAATGACAGTAAACTACTGGAAAAGTTAAAAAAGGAGGAAGAAGGAAAGGATATAGGAAAAGAGATTAACTTAAAAACAGATGAGATAGTTAAACTTTTAGGACTTACCTGGGATCGACGATCCGACGAATTTCAGTACACCTGTAACAAAAAGAAAGGTTTTGTCAGACATAGCTAAATTATACGACCCCCTAGGTTGGCTTGCGCCATTCATAATCAAAGCAAAGATTTTAATCCAAAAATTGTGGCTGGCAGGAATAAATTGGGACGAAGAACTTCCAAACTCAATACTCAAGGAATGGATTACTTACCGGAACGAGTTAGAAAATTTGAAACAATTCAAGTTGCCTCGTTGGATGAAAACCAAAGCTGACGATGAAGTGGTAGAACTCCATGGATTTGCAGATGCTTCGAATGCTGCGTATAGTGCAGTAGTGTATTTGCGAGTTGTTGATTCGGATGGAAATATTTACGTCAGCTTGGTTACCTGCAAAACAAAGGTAGCACCAATTAAACAAATATCAATTCCTAAAATGGAGTTGTGTGGAGCAACATTATCTGAAGGAGGTGTCTGAAGTGTTGAACATTGAAAGGTCTCATATTCATGCTATGTCAGATTCAGAAGTGGTTTTGGCCTGGTTGAGAGGACATTCAAGCAAACGGCAGACATTTGTTGGAAATCGTGTCTCAGAAATTCTGAGCACACTTGATTCCAATCAATGTTCACACATTCCATCCAGCCAGAATCCTGCTGATTGCGCATCGAGGGGGCTAAATACATCAGATTTGTTGAAAAATACTTTGTGGTTTTATGGTCCACCGCTTCTTCAGGAAAAGACCGTAAAATATTCTAAACCAAAAAACGATGAAACTCAGTTGGAAATAAGAAAGGTTCACTTTACTGAAATGGATATTCATTTGGGACAAATACGCTTCATGGACCAAGCTGGTAAGAGTGGTGGCTTATTGCAGGCATTTCCTGTGTGGGAAAAATAATTCTGAACGCCGTCATAATTACCTTACAGCTTAAGAGTTAAAACATGCTACCGACACCTGTATTAGATAATGCCAACGGGAACATTTTAAAAGGGAATTTGAACTTTTGAAAGCTAATGAACCGAATAAAATAAAGGGTCCTCTTAAACCTTTAAATCCGTTTGTAGATGAATCAGGACTGCTACGAGTGGGAGCACGTCTGGAAAAAATCCCTATTGGGAAAAATAATTCTGAACGCCGTCATAATTACCTTACAGCTTAAGAGTTAAAACATGCTACCGACACCTGTATTAGATAATGCCAACGGGAACATTTTAAAAGGGAATTTGAACTTTTGAAAGCTAATGAACCGAATAAAATCAAGGGTCCTCTTAAACCTTTAAATGCGTTTGTAGATGAATCAGGACTGCTACGAGTAGGAGGACGTCTGGGAAAATCCCTATTGGATACAAACAAAATGCATCCGATTCTGCTTCCTAAAAAATCACCTAAAATTTAATTGTCGCTGATGCCCACACAAAAATACTACATGGAGGTCCGCAGCTTATGCTTACATATTTGCAATCCAAATACTGGATTTTAGGCTCCAAACTGTTGACAAAATCACATGTCAGAAAATGTGTGACATGTTTCAAGGACAGGGCAAAATCTACCACGCCTTTATTGGGCCAGCTTCCAGCTGCTAGAGTAACACCTTCTAAACCATTTAAATGCTGTGGAATTGATTACGCTGGACCCATCAACGTACGGACAACAAAGGGCAGAGGATACAAATCATATAAGGGATACATATGTATTTTTATTTGTATGGCGACTAGAGCAATTCATCTGGAAGTTGTTAGTGATCTTACAACCGAAGGATTTCTAAGCGCGTTCAAACGATTTGTTGCTCGCCGTGGACTCTGTACCGACATTTGGAGCGACAACGGCACAAACTTCGTGGGAGCCGCTAGAGAGTTGCGCACACTATTTGCATCTGAAAGGTCAGAAATCTTAAGAGAGGTGTCAGATTCCTTGGCTTCACACGGCACTTCTTGGCACTTTATTCCGCCACGGTCACCGAATTTTGGAGGGTTGTGGGAAGCCGGAATTAAGTCTGTGAAGACACACTTAAGAAAGGTCATCGGAGACACAACCTTAACCTACGAAGAGCTGTCTACAGTCTTGATTCAGATTGAGGCCTGCCTGAATTCAAGACCTCTAACACAACTTCGGACAGACCCTGAATCATTGGAGGTACTAACTCCCGGTCATTTTTTGGTTGGAGAACCCTTGGTTACCTTACCAGACAAAAACTTTGAAACCTCCAACATCAGCAGTTTACGTAGGTGGCAACTCACCCAGAAGCTGATGCAACAATTTTGGCGACGATGGTCGCAAGAATATTTAAACTAGTTTTTACATAGGTACAGATGGTCACAACAAACACCTGAACCGCAGTTAGGAGATATAGTGTTAATAAAAGAGAATGACTCACCCCCGTGTAAATGGCTCCTTGGCCGTGTGATAGCTAAACATCCAGGAACTGATAACATTACGCGTGTAGTCACTTTGCGAACTAAAAATACAGTTATCAAGAGACCAGTATCCAAGCTCTGTATACTTCCAATTGATACTGGACCTTCTGTTAACCAATAAAATGTTTAATGTACTTCTTAACTCCTTATGGGTATCTATATAATATATTTTATTTGTAATGGGTAAATATAGGTTACTTACTTTGTTTTGTTATTGTATTGTGGCATGGTGGGCGGTTTACTTTTATTGTTGATGTAAATTAAGGACGATTCTGTTTATATCGTCCTTGGTGGGCGAAATGTTTAATGATTTAGTTCCTAAGTGCGATCATAGATGGCGCTTGCTGTATTGCTTGCTGTGTATGTTGCTTCACGCGGTGTAAAGGTTTTTCGATTTAATAACCCTCGGGTTCATACGGCTCACAAAAAAAAGAAAACTAATTGGTTTGTTAGTACTGTATATTGAAGTTTAATTTCAAATACATACCTACCTCGAACTACCTCGTCATACCTATGTACTGGATTATACAGACGATAAGCCCGCCTTTGTAAATTTTTGTGCAACGAAGTTTAAATAAATAAACATATTGCAATATTTTATTAATTTGATAATATCAGAACACATAAAATTATAACACATAAATTATAAAGTGGTTTAAGACACTTAATTACGATCAAACAAAAGTTTATTAGATTTTATCCTATAAACACATTCACTCACTCACTAACACACTCGCTTACACGCGTCACGCGCGCTCGTGGTAGTTAGCACGTGTGGGTAGTTTATTACTTTATGAAGGTATGATCGACACACAATATTGATCTATCCACTATATACTACAATTATAAGTCTTCCTCCCTTACCTAAACATAAAGATAAGTTAATATGACCGCGAAAAGCATTCACATGACGGCGCGACAGTCTGGCATCAACATTGATGAGACTGGACATGGAGGAGGCAATTTGTTTATGGATTTTATACCGAAGGCTGAAACTATACGTCGCAGAAGACAAAGACGATACTTTATATCTCTCACCTCACCTTAGACTACATGAAGAATTTAATTGAACTATTTCAGGATGTCGGTTTTTTATATGATGATTTTTTATATGATGGTGTTGAAAACTATTTAAAACCCACTGCTGATGCTATTATATATTGCATATCACCAAAAGAAAAGCTCATAGTGATATTAAGGTAAGTAAACTCTTTATTAATGACTTTGAAAATAGTAACAATCAAATATTTAGAAATGAGCCTTTCCGGCAAGTTATATTTTAATTATTGTATGATTGAATAAATCCAATTCTTGAGAATCTTTGTATGACCCGGGTGATGTTAAATGTGACAAATTTATGGGAGGTGAAGAGTTGGAACTAGTTGTATAACTACATTGTGTTGAAGATTCTCTATCAGAGTACCGCATCGTGTCGCTATATTGAGGATTTTCGAATGAAGTTGGATAGTTTATTGACTGTCGTTGTGAGTTGTATGAAGTAGGCGGGTAGTTAATATCTTCAAATGTAAATAGTAGTTAGGTATATGTATTATACATAATTAAGGATAAGAGGAAAATGTTGATCACCATCATCGCGCATCTGCTTGGCAAACTTGGCGGGCGGGATGTAAATACTCTGAGTAGGTAAACCCAACACGCCACTGTTATGAAACTGATTCTCTGCCCACTCTTCTTCTACTTCTCCCATGGGTTCCTCTTCAACAGCACTAGAAATTAAATACTATGTATGAGATTTCTATTGAACATTTACTTGAGGTATATGGAAAATGTACTTATTACCTTTTTCCTAAACATATTCCTCGCTTTAATGCGGAGATGGAGAAAAATATATAGAAATTTACTGAACAATAATTCCATAGATTGAAGTAACATTCCCTTATTACGCTTGCACTCGTCAGTCCGTCTGTTCAGCGTGGTAAGTTAGGGTAAAACGTGCAAATAACGGAAGCTAGTTGGTAAATTCTTGAAAAAATCTAAATCCAGCAGGGTAAAATTAAAAAGGCTAATGATATGAGGAATTATTTAGGACTTATTTTCTGCCCAGGAGTCGGTCTGAGTGCGTACCACTCTTTTACCAGTTTCTGTCCTCAAATTGTACTGCTTTGTCCCGGTTCTGAAGTCATAGAGAGCCAGTATAATCACAGGCTGTGAGGCATTCCATCTCATCATCATTCAGGTGTCCAGGAATTGCAGCAGTCACTTACCACTAAGTGGACGTGTGAGTTCGTCTGTTACTTCATTTCACAAAAGAAAAAAACAACATTAGAGAAATCTTTATTAAATATTACTTTTTATCCATTAGTAAATATTTATTGTGAAGTTATTAAACAGGTTTTTAGCCTAAATCCTTAGTCCCTTGCGGAGTTCTACAAAATTTATCACCAAAATACTTAGGTATAAATATTAAACTAATAATGTTGTAAAACGAATTTTGGTCACGACCGACAGTCTCAACGGAGATTTGCCATTTGCGAGTGTGTGTGCGTAAGCACTGGTGCACTCTCTATTCTTTCATTCTCATAGTCCAATAACATGGCAAACGATCGGACAATCGGACAAACTTTACATGCTTTCCGAGCCACTCGGGTGAAACGTTATTAGTTTCTGATTCCAGGCTGCAATTGAGGATTTCCTGACAGAAAAGTCCAATAAATAATTTAGGCCCAACCCGGGGTCTGGTGCCAGTCTTTATTGAGACTGTGCGCTGCGCCGTGTTACGTATGTGCGTGCGAAGGTACATGTGCGTAGGTGCGGGGGAGGGGCGGGCACGTATGTGAGTGTGCTACTCACCTAGAACGAGTATGGCATTATAAATGGCGTCTCATCTATTTATTTATCGCTCACGCACTGTCTTTCTTCATACGCACGAGTAGTACGTGTGAATGTAAACGTGTGCGTGCGTGTGTGTGTGTGTGTGTGTGTGTGTGTGTGTGTGTGTGTGTGTGCGTGTGTGTGTGCACGTGTGTGTGTACACGTAGGTACCAGTATGCGGGCCGGGCGGGCGACGAGTTAGCGTGGGGCCAGTGGCGAGTCAATGCTGGGCGGCGGTGGGCAGGGCGGCAGTGCGGGCGGAATGAGTGCGCACTCACGTGTGTGTGTACGTGTGTGTGGACGTGTGCATGTATACGTAGGTACCAGTATGCGGGTTGGGCGGGCGGCGGATCGGCACGGGGCGGCGGTGCGCGGGGCGGGGGAGGGGCGGGCACGCGCCGGGCGGCCGCTCGCGCCGAACACACCGCGCGCACCACCTCCCACACGTGCGCCACCTGCACACCACCATCACCACCACGTACATGCAAGTATTAATGACCCGACTTCAAAAAATATGCTTTAATTATTTTATGATAAGCGACAGTAACCTAATAACACTGGTTTGAACTGCAAACTCAAACACAAAAGATACTAATATCCATAGAACAATATTACATTGTATTGGAAATTGATAACATGAATAAAGAATAATCTTTGCATGCGATACATTAAAGTAAAGTTACAGTCTATATACGTCCCACTGCTGGGCACAAGACTCCCCTCATTTCTGAGAGGGTTTTAGGGCGAGGAAGTGTCAGCCGCGCTGCCCTAATGCGTGTTGGCGAACTTCACATCTTTTCGAAATATTTTTAGCAGGTTTCGTCACAATGTTTTCCTTCACCGCCGAGCACGTGGTAAATCTTGAAGAAATTTGTCATTGTAGAATTAATTAAAAAAATCTCTATCCTGTGGTGTAAACAAAAGTCAGTTACTATAAGTATTTTTATTTTTATTCTAATGTCAATTCACGACATATTAAACCATAAAACACAGCACTTTAAACCATTAAAACTTATATTTATAGACTACTCTTCTATGAAGAAGTTTGGCATTATAGAATTAATACAAAATTCTCTATCCTGTGGTCTAAACAAAAGTCAATTACTCTATAGTTGCCGACACGAGTGGTGAGCACAGATAAACTGTGGTGGGAGGTAGGTACACTGTCGGGCAAAATTATTGGGTACCTTTATTATTTCAACCCGTAATTGAATATTTTCGGCGACTTTTATGAAAATGTTTACTCGAACACATCAACTTTTACTTTGATACAGTAATGTTGCAGATATTCATGTCCTTTATTTTATTATGTACTATAAAGTATTTAATGTATACCTGGTGGTTAGAATTGATTATTTTATTAAGAAGAAGGAAGAGTTGATATGCCTTCCATAAAATCTGGTGTCGCGGTGCGCCGTACAGTAGCTGAGACATTAGTCGCCTCAGCAGTCTATTTATATACGTCTATGATGTTTTTCGCGGTACCTAATTTTTTCATGTAACTAAACACTGAATAGAAAATTTGTCGGGATTGTCTATTTAACACCGAATTCTTCCTTCTCTGCATATTTAGACCAAAATCTGAACACTCAAATTATAACAACAAAAATAATTAAAAACAAGAACAAGGAATACACAAACAACAATTAACAACGAGCTGACAAAAACAATTAACGAAAATAAACTTATTAAAAAAGTTATCATTAAAATTATTGCTCTGAAGTGTACGGAAGCCGAATGAAACGTTCGAAACCAATAGACGACGAGAATCGACTAATGAACCAATCACGTTGAACGTCAGCGTGGTCGTATCGACCAATAAAAAGTGTGCTCACGACTTATGTCGGCAGTTCTATACATTTTTATTTTTATCTACTGTAAAATTGCGCCATTTTCGTATGGTCGGCAAATGTCGGATCCGACCGCTTGAATTTTGACGGAACATCGGCTTGGTTGGATCCAACCGTGTGCCCATTGAAAGGTGAAATAAAATGACAATCGAATAAAATTTATACATCATTTGACAATCATTCTACATTAATTAAATACTTTTCATGTCATAAAAGATTATTTGAGGTTGATGATCTGAGCTAAAGGTACCTTTTTGGAAACTTTATTGAGCAGATTTGGACAGTCGATAATATTTATATTTCATTGCCGGTTAAGGTAATAAAATAAAATTTATAAAATTATAAAGTTTAAAATACCAAAGATCTATAATACAGATCTTGTATGACCTATTATATGATCTATTATACAATATTAAAAATTGGAATACATACAATAATTTACAGTGTGTTTTTAAATAAGCAAGAACTGAAAAAAAACGCTATTTTCAGTAGCGTTTTTTTAATTCGGATAAATATTTTTATATTAAAGCCAACTACCTATGGTTTTAGAAACAACTGTGTTTACACTTACACCTTGTATAAAAAAATGTGGATCACGCGGGCGGGAACTGGCGGCACGCTAGATATGTCATGCAATTGTATTTTTACTTACGATAGTTATTCTTAGGCAAATATGAAATAAAGTTCAGTACACACTTATCTGAAATAAACTTCAAATCACGTTGACACTACTGTACGTTAAACATCGATAGTTTGGTAATCCGATAGTATCGATAGTTTAACTAAAAACTATCGATAGTATCGATAGTCTATCGATAGTTTAAAAACTTGTAGGATTAGCGTAACATCAATAAAATAACAAATGTTATACGAAACGTAGAATTTTATTTTGATATATATATATTCGAAATAACAATCAAACAATCAAAAATCAGTATTCATCATTATTATAGTTAGAAATCAATCATTAAAATAACAGCTATTTTGTTTTATAAACAACAATTCATTTAATCTTTTTTCTTTTAACCTATTTCTGCGTTCGGTTAAAATTTGTCCGGCCTTCGAAAATATTCGTTCTGAAGGCACAGAAGATGCTGGAATACAGAGATAGAGCATCGCTAATTCCTTCAATTTATTGTTGGTGTATTTCCAGTATGTTATAGGACACTCTTTTCTGTCAATTACTGGCTTCTCGAGATATTGCCTGACATCTACCAATGAGTTACTCAACGGGGTCGATACGTCCGGAACGTCTAGAAATCCCAACAGGTCATTAGATGTTCCTGAAGACGTGGATGGTGTTGGTTGCGTTTCTTCTACAGCCAAGCGTTCTTTAGTTAAATGGCTAGCATAGGCCTTTTCCAGCCACTGACCAGCTCGCTTCTCGTCGTCACTTGTTTTGAACCCCTTCTTCTTAAATCTGGGGTCCAATATTGTAGCAAGTACAACAGGTGTCCTGCTTTCATAGGGACTTAGTCTTTTGTCAACTGATCCCTTCATGCAGAGTAATATTTTGTTTCCGCTTTCAGTAACAATTTGAGATTCAACTTCTACTAATTTCGTTTTTATTCCACGAATCAATGGTATTATCAGTGACAATGTTATATAGCTTTCTCCGGAAATTTTTGTTGTAGCTAGATCGAAAGGTTCCAGAATTTGAATTGTTTCTTGAATAATTAGGTATTCGTCAGCATTGACTCCTGGTGGAGCCCGATTACATTCATTAAGTGCGAGAGTTAATTCTGTCTTCATTGTAACAATTCTTTGCAGCATGTGGTATGCACTGTTCCAGCGGGTGGGTACTTCCTGAATCACTTTCAGTTCTGGTTTATTTAATTCACGTTGAATAGCCCGTAATTTATCGCTAGCTAGAGTACTCATCTTGAAAAAAGTCACAATCGATTTACATTTTTTCAGAATCTGGTCTAAGCAGGTCACAGCAAACGAATCACTTACCGTCAGGTTTAGTGTGTGCGCAAAGCAGGGTATATGTCGTATATGCAGTTTGGCTGCGGCGTTAATCATTGTTTGAGCGTTATCAGTCGTTATTGCTTCACATTTTGACCTGATATCCCATTTTGAGAGAGTAGCATCCAACATCTGAAAACAATAATAATATTGTTTATGTCTGATTATAAAGAAACACTGAATTGGTAGGTATCAAGGCAATAAAATTTAAAAATACTTACACTGGCTATATTTTCTGCGTTATGACTTCCTTCCATCTTCACAACTTCCAATAATGGTGCAATTAATTTTTCGTTGTGAAAGAAATGACAAGTAACTGAAAGGATGCCTTCATTTGCAATTGATGTCCATAAGTCAGTAGTCACACTAACATGTTCTGCTTTCGATAATGCTATGACGAGCTTCTGTTTCACGTTTTCATAATATTCCGGCAGTAATTTCTTTTTCAATATTGTTGTATCAGGAATTTCATATCTACTATCGAGAGCATTTACAAAATCCCGAAATCCTTCATGTTCTCCTTTTCGCAAAGGTTCCATGTCAACAGCAATCACGCGCACGTATTTGTTATCCAAATTTTGCTTTGTTTTCCCATCTGGATATTTACTACTTCTATCAAAATAATTTTTTTAGCGTATTTCTCTTTTTAGGGCTTGGGCCCATTTTCTCATTTTGCTCAGTGGTATCTACGTCTTGAGTAACAGAAACAGTGGATGACCACATCCATACCTCATTATGTTTTCTCTTCATATGATCGATCAAGTTCGTAGTATTTCCACTTAGTTTAAACTCTCTTTTACACAAAGAACACTTGGCAAACTTTTCATTAGTCTTTTTGAAGTAATCCCACGCACGTGACTTACTACTCATGTTTTATTGTTTAATTCTAAATTGTTTGTTACTCCACTCAACTTCAAACATCCACAATAAAAAACTGACTGACTGACTTTTGTCTTGTAAATGAATGATATACGCACGGTAATTCCCCAACCATAGAGAAGAATCTCAATGTCTACGCCTTTGAATGTATGATATACGCACGGTAATTCCCCTACCATAGAGAACAATCTCAATGTCTATACCTTTGTCACTATAGCCGGGGAATAACTTACATACATGCATACCTCGACTCTAGGGATGTAAAAGTAGTACCCGAGTAAACAATCGATCGATAGTTTTAAAAACTATCGATAGTATCGATAGCCATTTACTATCGATACCATCGATAGTCTATCGATGTTTAACGTACACTAGTTGACACAGTGTGCAGATAATTAATGACAGCGTTTTCTTAGTCACATTAAACAAAATCAGTGTAGTTTCGCGGTTTACAAAGCAAAGAACAAGTGTTTTCGGTTACTTGCAGTTACCGAAAGACGTTACAGAGTATTGAGGGTAGCTTAGTACGCAATATATTTGTACCGTAGTGCCCGTCTAGGAGTATACATAAGTCTTTGGTAAACATATCATAATAATGAAAAGTTGGTAATATTGTATGCTATAATATTTCCGCTGCCAAGTAACTTCGCATGCACTGCTGTGTTTCGGTATGAAAATGACAATGCATTTTTGTATTTATTTTTGTTTGGGATTGCTTATAGGTGTGAACGGACTCCTCAGGGGTGCTAACGGATCTGTAGTTTTTTTGTTTAAAGTTGTCTGTAAGTGTCCTTTTGTTGCGTTAGCCACTTACTATCAGTGTATAGTTCATACGGATAAAGAATGGGATTAGAAACGGCGACTCATCGAGCCCGTACCGTCAACATGCACAGTACCAATATGAAAAACTCGCTAACAACAGTATGTCGTTATAACGTTATATTATTCGGTTAATTGGAAATTTTCTATTAGTGGGACAATATTTAAAAAGAATTGTATATGCAAGTACATTAATTTTAAAATAACATTTAAAACTTAAGACCTGCTCTGGCTTCGCCTGGGTGGGTTCTAAGGTCAGACCATTTATTTTATTTTATCAATATTTCTATTTTAAAAGTCTCCAAATTTTATGAATAAAATTTAGTTTAGATCACTTTTGATATTACTGTATTGTCCTTGAAGTTCGGTTTAGCCAATCCTAAGATTGGCTCGGACAGACAGACAAGCGAACATTTTAAAATGGTAACTATTTTTATAATTTCCATGTCGCGATAGCATGTACATTTTTGATACAAAAATATTAACTAACGATATCAACAATCATTAAGAAGAAAACTTTCAGAACACGTCGTAGTTCAAAAAATTAGCAAAACCGGAATGTATATATTTTTGTTTCCAATGAGAAGTTAGACTAAAGTTATAGAACGTATGAAAAAATTATCATCATCATCATCATTACATCCCTTCACAAGTCCACTGCTGAACATAGGCCTCCCCCAAGGTATGCCACAAAGCACGGTCCTGAGCCACCTGAATCCATCGACTTCCTGCATGTCTTACCAGGTCGTCACTCCATCTAGTGGGGGGTCGCCCTACATTTCGCCTACCGGTACGAGGCTGCAACTCGAGAACCTTTTTTCCCCAACGGTTGTCGGTTCTTCGAGCTATATGGCCGGCCCATTGCCACTTCAGCTTACTAATCCGTTGGGCTATGTCGGTCAATCTGGTTCTACTGCAGATATCCTCATTTTATCACGCAGAGAAACCCCTAGCATAGCCCTCTCCATAGCTCGCTGAGCGACCTTGAGCAGTGAAGGACCACGTCTCGGTTCCGTAAGTCATCACTGGCAACACGCACTGGTTGTACAACTTAGTTTTCAGGTTTTGAGGTATACCTGACGAGAAGATGTGTCGTAATTTCCCGAACGCTGCCCAGCCGAGTTGAATCCGTCGATTGACCTCTCGGTCGAAGTTGGACTTACCTAATCGGACTATTTGTCCCAGGTAAACGTACTCGTCAACATCTTCGAGCATAGTGCTCCCGACAACTACGGGCATAGGTGTGACATGGACATTAAACATGATCTTTGTTTTGTCCATGTTCATCTTAAGACCTATCCGTTAGGTAAATAGTGCCGTATTGAGGTCATTGAGCATAGTGTTTAAGTCCTCCAGCGATTCTGTCGGACGAAGGACTATATCGTCGGCAAATTGAAGGTGAGTGATGTACTCGCCATTGATGTTAATACCGTATCCTTTCCAGTCCAGTAGCTTGAAAACGTCTTCCAATGCAGCGGTGAAGAGTTTCGGGGAAATAACGTCACCCTGTCTTACACCTCTCTGCAGTTGGATAGGTTAAGTACTCTGGTTCTGTACTCGGATAGCCATCGTAGCCCTACTGTACAAACACTTCAGCACTTCGATATAGCGACAGTCAACTTGGCACCGCTGAAGAGACTGTAGCACCGCCCAAATTTCGACGGAATCAAAGGCTTTCTCATAGTCCACATACGCCAGGCAAAGTGGCAGATTGTACTCTTCGGACTTCTGTACAATTTTCCGAAGGGTATGTATGTGGTCTATGGTACTAAAGCCTTTTCGGAAACCGGCTTGTTCGGGAGGCTGTAAGTCGTCGAGTCTGCGTGCGAGACGGTTCGTAATGACTCTCGAAAACAGCATGTAGACGCGGCTCAGAAGGGATATCGGTCTGTAGTTCTTCAAGAGGGCGTTGTCACCTTTCTTGAAGAACAAGACCACCGCACTTCTGCTCCAAGCCTCGGGAGTAGTGCCTCCATGGAGGACGGAATTAAAGAGCTTCTGAAGGACTTCAAGTGCCGGTTTTCCACCCGCTTTCAGAAGCTCCGCTGTAATTCCATCCTCGCTCGGGGACTTGCCGTTTTTAGGGTGCTGGAGAGCTATTCTAATCTCGCTCAGGCTAACATCCGGGATATCATCGGAGTAGTGTCGGATAAGACTTACACTTGGATCGTTACTCACACTTGCGTGTGGTTCCAACGATGATGTGTACAGCTGCCCACAGAATCTCTCAATCTCACTCAGAATCGCAGGTGTCCCGGAAACGATGCTGCCACACTTAGTCTTCAGCTTTGACAGAAACAGAAACAAAAACAGAAACTTTTTTATTCAATGTAGATTATAACAATACTTATTGAAAGTCACTTTTTTCATTTACCACTGGTTCGCAAAAAAACCTCTGTCCTGGGAAGAACCAGCAAGAAACCCAGCGGGACTATTTTTTTTTCAATAGTTATAATGTTTATAAACAACAAGACAAATTAGAAATAGCTTGGTAGCGATCACCCTTCCCAGGAGTTATTATCATCCATAAATTCCTTAATATACAGTTGGCTCTTACTGGCAGACAGATCTCTGGCAAAGAATTTGGAGCCCTGGTTCCGCTCAATCGCTTCTTCAATACAAGCTGTATTGAAGTTGCGTAAGTCCTGCCGCATACATTTGTAGATCTGTCTGTTCAGTTGCCTGTATACTATCAAATCTACTGACGACTGCAGCTTCATCGCCTGTCTAACATCCATGAGATTAAGAGTGTGATCGGAGAATGTTTGTATTCTTCTGCGGCGGGTCTTGCAGAACTTAGCTCCGACCGCATGGACAGTTTTCACGAGCTTGTCATTCATGAAAAATGCATATCGCAACGTATTTTTAAAGCCTTTACCGGTGTGTGTGAGTATAGATAGGAGCAGTATGTGAGCGAGAGTTGAATAGAGGCGACTCCATTTTCAATCCCATTCTTTAACAGCACAGGTAGTACAGTGAGTTGAGTTCTAGTTGAACGTGTATGTGACTGAAATAAGTTCACGCAGTACGTACGCAGTGTCGGTTCGCGTCCCGCGCCACTTGCGCGTTGTGCGCGGCGAGCGCGTGCGGCGGCTGCCCGCGCATGCGGTACAGCCGCGCGCACCGCAGCACTCCGTCCCCCGCACCTCCTGCACCACCCACTGCACCATCCGCACCCCCCGCCGGCACGTGGCGCGCCAGCGACGACGCCGCACCGCCAGGGAAAGCGCGCTCCAGTGCTGCCTGTGCGCTCGGCGCCAGCGATCCTGCTGTCGGCTGTTTACGTCTGCACACACACACACACGCATTTCAACTTATTCAGACTACTCTTAACAAGGGTTTCTTCCACATTCTGAAGAGACCTCTTGTACATCCCATCTTAAAAAACGGAAATAGGAGGAAATGTTAGGGAACTACAGACCCATCTCGTTGCTGAAAGTGAACGTATTGAAATAAAAGAAATTTTATTAGAAAACCTATTAGAAATAAATAAAGAAAATAATTTTATTTAGTCACACATTATATTATAGCATAATCTCAGTACTGTAATTTTAAAATAAATTTGATTAATAACGACTTATACAGCACGCGCTAATTGAATACCAATTAATTAACGTGGCGATGACGAAAACTATTTTGCTAATTTTAAATGCAACTACACAGTAGGTATCTATAACCGACAAACTTTTCAGTAAAACATTTCTTCTTCGTCCTTCGTACGTGGGGTGCTCTATCTCTCTCACTCACCCGAGGCCTGGCACGGGCTAGTGCGGCGGCGGGCAGCGGGCACTTGGGCGTGGCGTGCGCTATCTCTCTTACTCACCCCAGACCGGGCACGGGCGGGTGCGGTGGCGGGCAGACGGTGCGCGGCGAGCGCGGGTAGCGGGCACTCGGGCGAGGCGTGCACTATCTCTCTCACTCACCCCAGACCGGGCGCGGGCTAGTGTGGTGGCGGGCAGCGGTACGCGGCGAGCGCGGGCAGCAGGAACCCGGGCGTGGCGTGCTATCTCTCTCACTCACCCGAGGCCGGGCGCGGGCGGGTGCGGCGGTGGGCAGCGGTGCGCGGCGAGCGCGGGCAGCGGGCACTCGGGCGTGGCGTGCGCGAGCTCTCCACGAGCGGATACGCACACGCCCTGCGGGTTCGCCCACAGCACCGGGTGCGCCGCCTCGCTGAACCGGTGCCGGTATAGGCTGCAGTCCTGCGACACACAATATAATACACACGGAACATGTACAATATTTTTGGTGTATTACAAACTCAACAAAAACGATATGTTATTAAAAGTCACAATCATAGTACTAAGACTAATACTAATAATAATTAACACAAATACGGAGCCAAGTAAGAAAGTGACGTGAAAAAATATGAACACAACACATTGCGGGCTTACTATAGCGCGAAAAGGGAAGAAACGTATCGGGCTCGGATGCATCACTTTTTTGCTGATCTGGAGCCGTCTGTTCCCGTCGCAAAGCAAAATCTGACAGACCGAGTTCGGTACATCATGCGGTTGAAAATATTTGATGATGCCGAACTCTTACGACTACGGCGTAAGACTATTCCAATGTCGAATACACCGGCTACGACTGGGGATGCGGTTCCGCAAGCTACTACTGTGGATGCTGCCGTAGATTCCCCGGTTGTGTTTGGTTCAGACAACGATGGAATAGTCACCCAGGAATAAGAGCAAATGAGGAGCACATTGGAAGAGGCGATTATGGAAACGCGCAGTACGCCTATTGAAAATCGGCGCGACTTCCCCGCATTCCCCTAAGAAAACTAAATCGGGCTGTCGGGAGGCCTACCAGACTGGTGGAGAGGAAGGCGGCGGGCGACAGCCAGGCGATGCCGGTGGTGACGTCACCAAGAGACCTACCCGATTGGTGGAGAGGAAGGCGCCGGGCGACAGCCGGGCGATGGTGGCGGTGACGTCACCAAGAGACCTATACAACTGATGGAGAGGAGGACGCCGGGCAACAGCCAAACGATGGTGGCGGTGACGTCACCAAGAGACCTACCCGACTGGTGGAAAGGAAGGCGGCGGACGACAGCCAGGCGATGGCGGTGGTGACGTCACGGTGCTCGGCGAAGGTGGCAAGCGGCACGTGCGGGCGCCGCACGTCCCACACGTGCACCGCGCAGTCTAGCACCAGCGCGCACGACGCCACCTGGTACCTGCGCAGATCACGTCACTGCATCACGCCCGCACCTCATCGACCTGCATGTGCCATCATCTACCACAGACCAACAAAGAAAGATAGATGAAGAACTGCGTAAATGCCGATATCATGCTCAACATTTTGACGCGCACATCTCTCTTCTTTCTTTCTTTATTAGCCCGTAAAGTTTACTGTTATACGCACACGTACGAGGGGCATACTGAATTAGCACGAGAATAAGAAAAATCATATGCACGGTGTAGCTAAATTGTATTTTATTGTTTTTCGAAATATTCTGCGTTCAACTTAATGCATTTTTCCATTTGTGCGAACCAATCATTAAAACAGTAATTCCAGTCTGAAGTAGATGTTGACAAAATGGCTGATTTGTACGCTTCTACAGCTGCTTCGGGGTCTTCAAACCGTTGACCGAGTAATAAATCTTTCATTCTAGGGAATGTAAAGAAATCGTTTGGCTCAGGTCACTGTACGGAGGATGGCTCATCAGCTCAACGTTTTGCTGCTTCAAAAAATCATTTGTCTTTCGAACCGTATGGGAGGTCGCATTATCGTGATGTAAGATGATGCGAAGTTCCATCATCTCTGGCAAACAAACCGTGATATACCACTCAGCGGTAACCGTCCTGCATTCCTGTAAAGGAATTGTAGCAACGTGCCCCTTTTTCGAGACAAACGTAGCGACCATTTTCTTTGCCACACTGCTGTAACGAACCACTTTCGTTGGTTTGACCTCGTCTTCGAAGATCCAAACTGCTGACTGATGTTTTCTTTCAGGTTCGTATCAATAAATCCATGATCCGTCACCTGAGGCGATATTATAAACGGCATTTGACTTCCCTCCGTTGAAGTGTTGCAGAGTATTCCGGCACCAATCACTACCACAACCAATCACACACCAAATACACGAGCCGCTTTTTGCTCTTCGGACAAATTGTGGGAACCCAGCGGGAAACTAGCTTTCTTACACACAGCTCTTTATGTAATATCGACTGAATTGCAGTCATTCCGATACTGATAACAGCCCGAATCTGCTCGTATGTCACATGAAGGTCATCTAATATAATAGTTCTAACAGCTGCGATGTTTTCAGGCGTAACCGCTGTTCTTGGTCGACCTGCAGAAGAAACAGTGCTGAGCGACACACGACCGCGTTGGAACTCGGTATACCAGCAGTATAATGTCGTTTGACTCGGTGCTTCAACATCATAAATCGAAACAAGTTCGCCGAGACATTTATCTTGAGATAAGCCGCGACAAAAATTGTGATAAATTATGGCACGGAAATGTTCACGCGTGAGCTCCTTTTCTGTTAACGACGTGTCAACTTTGACACGTTGACACGTCGTTAACAGAAATGGACGTGTTATTTAAACCAAGATAATTTTTGTTTTTAAACATTTTTTTAATTGTTTGAATGTCATTAAGATTCTAAGAGGCCAGTATTCAAATCCTAAAAAATGTTTTGTTGTAACTCAATCCGTAATATTCTATTCCCGATCACTATCCTATATAGCTAATCACGATCCCGTGCTATAGTATACATCTAATGTTGGTTGCAAATGATTTTATTGTAGATGCATGTAATATGTTAGTGTGTGTTCTTACAATAAACTGAACAGTTTTGACATTTGAAATATATGCAGCGCTCCGTCTTTTTTGTGGTATGAGAGCTTTACAGAATATTCCTTATGTGATTAGACATATAAAAACAGATGACCTTTATTATTCACATAATAATTCAATATATTAAATACGTACAAGTTAAGCACTTAAACGGGTTAACGAAGTTATTTTAATTAAATAGTTTCATATTCTTGCCATTTCCAATGACTTACTCTCTTGGTTTTATTGCTATTTACAGACGACTAAAGAATTTTATTGCTACACATGAATCCATCTGTTTCATTTATATAATTTACTTAAATTTTCTATTTCTATTTCAACTTCCTACTACTAACTACCTATAGGTGTAATATATACTTCATTGTAGGTGTATAACAATATACTTCATTTTATCTCTGCTTTACCCTATGTTTGAATGGTAGAGAAAACTTTAGGCATTAAGTCAACCTATCCGATATATTATATGTACCTACATGAAGTTAAATAAATAAAAAAACATGAGTCCAGTTGACACGCGGTAGAAGTTAAACCTTCAGAAAAACACTGTATAGGTTAGCTATCTCATTCTCTTGCAGGATAAATTTTATAAATGTATATGTTTGTCTCTTTTTAGTGTCGCTTTTTCATTTTATCGAGTATCAAATCACAACGATTCTAAAGAAGTTTTCACTTCATAATTAGCAAAAATACATGATTCCAGTACACTACCATTAGGCGTACCACAAGGATCGCATTAGGGTCCCGATCTTTTTCTTGCGTTGTCACACGATAGTGCTTACTGCTTACACACTTTAATATAAAGAAGACTAATTAAGAGGATTGTGAAGTACCGATACGCGGCGCGAGTAGGTACTTTCAAAAATGCTATCTGTTTCATACTTGCTGTATCGGGGAGTTGCAAATGTTGAAAGTTATTGCCTACGTTTTCCTTTTAAAATATTCTTTCGAGCGATAACGTTATCACCTCCTTAAACCTTTACGAAATGAGACAATTTTGGTCTCATTAGATACATTATACCTTAATTTAGGTCTATACGTTTTTCTATTGTAGTAATTCAGTTTAGTTTAATTAAATAAAATAAAAACGCTCGAGGAAGTTTTTAAGTCAAAAATATAGATGTTTAGATGCTAATAATAATAACTTATATCGTACGCAATATTTCCTTAAAATAAAAACGTACGGACCTAGTTTTTCATTATATCTACAATTCCAAAAAATTTTTTTGGAATTGTAGATACGATCTCCAAAAATTATGAAAATTAGACTATGTTTAAGCGAGGGAAAACGTTATCGCTTTTTTTATGAAAATTAACAGCTTCACAATCCTCTTAATGCGAGGTTTTATTTTGCTCATTGTCAGTTAGAATATTGTGTCAGTGTTTAAAATTCAAAAAAAAAATCTTATATTCGTTAAAGTTATCATAAACAGACAAAATGAATTATATCCTCTCCTTTTTTGTTTTGTGGGTGGGTGTTCACTAGTGGAAGACCCCCTCTTTTTTGGTTCGCTTCGCGCTGCCAGTATTAAATGATTACTTCATTACTACTTATATCTGTACTGTACCTGGTTTACCGAGCTTAGCTCGGTTTTTTTTTTCGTATGTTTTGGAAATTGTATTTAGATACAAATTACATACTGATGAAATATGAATAATATTTTTTGATCTTACCGACATAATAGAAAAAACTGAACTGGTTATTTGAATAAAAAATCATGAGTGCAATTAGTTTAATTTAAATTTTCCTGTTTTTAAAAAAATACTAAAAAAGGGCTCGAAATAAAAAAAATCTCAAAAAGAAGGGAACTTGAAAAAAAAATAAAAAAGTCGGACAGAAGACAGGACTCGAACCAGGGTTACTACGATTTCGTGACCGCCCGACATTCCATTTGAGCTATTATAATGATTAACGCGCTGTCAAAATTTACCTTCTTATTCTAACGATATTTTAGCAGTTTTTTTATTGCCTGAAAACACGAATAAAACGACATTTTCTAAAAATGTATCTTAGCGTGGAGGGTATATATATATATATATATATCTATATATATATATATATATATATATATATATATATATATATATATATATATATAAGAGTTGCTCGTTTAAAGGTATAGGATTATTTTTAACCAGCGATCGACCCCGGCTTCGCACGGGTGATTTTTGAATCTCGACAACATATGCATGTATTACACATATTACCTATACATATACATTTAAACCTTCCTCTTGAATCATTCTGTCTATTAAGAGAAACCACATGAATCCGTAGTTTAAAAGATCTAAGCGTACAGACTGCGGGAAAGGACATTGTTTTATACTATGTAGAGATTATAAACAAACACGGGCGGATCGAAATTTTATGATAAAATTTTTAAAATTAGTCAACAGCCACATAAAAGTTCAAAGATTTTAAAATATGTACGTTATTTTTGAAACTGATACGGTGGTCAAAGGACCGTTTGACACAATTACGAGAAAAAAAATGTAATAAATAAGTTCATTTTAACGTTCAATCTCAAGTTAACTAATGAATTGAGAGCTCTATCCCTCTAATTCTCAAACGTCTAATTCACTTACTTCTTCTGAGGCCGCCACTTCACATGTCCGACTGAGGCAATCGTGTAAATGGTATGCTCCAGGTTGGGCTTGGCGTGCATATCCCACACCTGTAATAATACATTTTTGTTTATTTTTAAGAAAACTAACCACATCTTACACCACTAACCAATGTTCTTAGAACATTTTCTTACAGGCGGATGTAAGTATATATAGTAATTCATAAGGCATAATATAAAAAAATATCATTTCTGTTTGTGTATCGCACTGCCGAACGACGCTTGGCGATGGACTTTACAAAGTTTTTTTTATAGGATAGATTTTTTTATATAGATAGGTGACAAACGAGCACACAGTCCCCCTGAAGGTAAGTGGTAGCTGTGGCCCATAGACATCTACATCTATCCTCGATTAGGAATCAAAATGCAGATGCGTTGTCCTTCCTTGTATTCCATATTAGTCCTCACGGGCTATATACCCAGCCACGGTTATGCATGGTAAATTTAATTACGAATTTATAGATTTTATACTGGAGTATTAATTAAATAATTTAATAAAATTATTGATTTACGGAGTCAATATATTATGACATTTATATTTATATTTGTATTCTTACATATTTTAGACTTGTTGTTTTTTTTTTAAATATAGCATACGTAATAGTTAAATCAGTATTATTAGAAAAGTCAGCTATTTTGTTATTAATATCTAAGTATACAATTAGATAAAACATCATAAATAAAGTATGTAAAAATTAAATTCGTGTTTTATTTTTCGCAGTAATTGGCAAGCGGAAGCGAACTGGTTTTATCTGTTCAGGAAAATATTATCTAAGTATATAAAGCTGGAGAACATTTATTTCGGTCAAAATTATCAAATAATAATAAAAAATACGTATGGCACTCGGTGACTGCCGCGGTAAAGCTATTGCATAGCATTTTTTATCTTAAATCAAGTTACACTTTTTGAGCGTGGTGACCACTGACCTCTATATATACAAGTACGCTGGACTGGCTATACACCGTGACATGATGAAGCGATTTGATTTCCGCCATTTTGGCGCTGACATCAGAAGTGCACGTCCACGGAACTAATACTAGGGATAAGACAGTGTACCAAATTATATCGATAAAAATTCTATACCCTACCTATACCTAAATAAATAGAATGGATTCTATGGATAGATGGACTCTACCCGTAACGTCCTTTCTATTTATGTATCATATTAATATAATGCCATTATCATTCATCATCATTAAAACCCTTCACAAATCCACTGCTGAACATAGGCCTCCTCCAAGTAATGCCACAAAGCACGGTCCTGAGCTACCTGCATCCATCAACTTCCTGCATGTCTTACCAGGTTTTGACTCCATCTGCCTGCCACTCGAGAACCTTTTTTCCCCATCGGTATTCGGTTCTTCGAGCTAATATGGCCGGTCAATTGCCACTTCAGCTAACTAATCCATTAGGCGATGTCAGTCACTATGGTTCTGCTGCAGATATCCTCATTCCTAAGTTTGAACCCCTGAGTATAGCCCTCTTCATAGCTCGTTGAGCGACTTCGAGCTTCCTCATACGACCAGCAGTGAAAGATCTCGTCTCAGATCCATATTTCATCACTGGTAACACGCATTGGTTGTACAATCTAGTTTTGAGGTATTCCTGACGAGAAATTGTGTTGTAATCTCCCGAACGCTGCTCAGTTGAATAATGTAATAATTTGAATCCGTCGATTGAGCTGTCGGTCGAAGTTGAACTTCGACCGACAGCTCAATCGACGGACCTTCCTAGTCGGGCTATTTGTCCCAGTAAAAATACTCATCAACAACATCAGCTAAGTGCTCCCAAAAACCACAGGCATAGGTGTGACATGGACATTACACATGACTTTTGTTTTGTCCATATTCATCTTAAGACCTATCCGTTGGGGGACACGATTGAGGTCATTGAACATAGTGCGTAGGTCCTCCAGCGATTGTGCCATAAGGACTATATTGTCGGCAAATTGAAGGTGAGTAACGTACATGACATTGACGTTAATACCGTATCCTTTCCAGTCCAGTAGGTTGAAAACGTTTTCCAATGCAGCAGTAAAGTATTTCGGGGATATTACGTCACCCTGTCTTACACATCTCTACAGTTGGATTAGTTTTGTACTCTGCTTCTGTATTCAGATAGCCATCATAGCCCTTAACCATTCAACTAAAAAATATTAAGATTAAACTAAGTACACAAAATAAAAATAAAAACATAATTTCTAGAATAATTTATTGTCAACTGTTCACTTTGTTTTAGTATTATAAAAAACAAATCAGCTGCTATAATAACGCCTATTCTAATCAACTACAGATCTGTCTATTGACAGTAAAATATTTTCTACTATATAAAAATTTATATTTGTTCGTACATTCTACGATGCCATACCGTTCATCAGATTGCGGTAAAACTTAGTCAACTTATTGATTGCACTTGTGAGAAGGTTATACGCATGGTACAATTAACTGACACTAGGTGGCGTGCGTATTATACTGACTATTTATTTGAAAGTTATAGAAAGTTCTATTTCATTCTATTTCAATGATTGTATTATCATTCCTACATAAACACTCACGCCTGTCACCCAGAGGGGTAGGCAGAGACTACAGACTTCCATTTGGCACGATCCTGACACACCTCTCTCGCCTCCTTCACATCCATACACCTCCGCATACATGCTCGTCGGTTAAGGGTACTCCTAATTTGGCCCGTTTTCAATAAATCGCCTTTTTGAAAATATTGTATAATTAGGAATGATAAATCGAATGCGATTTATCATTCCTAATTATACAATATAACTGTTTCACATTTTTAACGATATTTCCACAATTATTTCTTCTGCGGCAGCAATGCGCCGGGTATGAGCTAGTAAGATTATATAAAAAATATAAACTTTGAATTACATAGTTATTAGTTATTTACAACATCATTTTCGAAATTAAAATTACAATATTAAAAAAAAATAACTGAAAATATCAATTACCGAGCCCGATATGTGAATGGAGCCAGGGAAAAACGAGCACTTAGAAGCATCAAATGGTCCTCACCAAAGAGACCTCACCAAAGTCGCGAAAAACAGCCGAGTGGCGCATCGCCAATCGCGTTACCAACACTCTTTTCCTGCAGTACAGGGAGAGGAATCTCCTCTAGCCGCAGCCCACTAACACACATCCAACGTGACTCAACATCATCAGGCGACCTTTCGACACTTGGCTATGGCCCTTCTTGAGTTTGGTGGCAAATTAGGAAAGAAGAAATAAAAAATCATTCGAAATAATTATCTAATACTTAGTACTTGGTAGTTCTTGGTACTGGTACCACCAGAAAATATTGTCGGTATACTGCACTTTTTCAAAGTGGTGCAGTTCTCATGTCTAATAAAACAGTCGTCTGTGAAATTTTTGGAACAAATATGATCATTTTGTTTCGGACGCCAATTCACAATATTTATGATATTAAGCCATAATTTTAGTCTAGGAAACCTGTTAATTAATAAACATTTGATAATCATTTGTTGTTGGTGACTTTGTTTGTTAACAGATATGGTTAGGAAAGAACATCGATAAATATTATAGACAAGGAACTCGACAACCCTATTGAATTTTATTGTTTATCAAAACTCAGTAATATACAGCTAAACATGTTGGTATATATGATATTAAGATTAGTAACAAATTTCTAAGTACTTATATTATCAAATAGTTTTAATTTGTTTAATATTTACTGCAAATTCACTTACTTGTGAAATTTTATACCACTTCCCTTTTGGTAACGAGTTTTACAGATTACGCACCCTCTCATTATTAATGAAAATAATTCTTATTATGTAACTAATATTATACACAATCAAACAACATAAAATACTTTCGTTTTTTAGTTTAAAAGTTCAAAATACAGACTTATTAAATATGACAATATGAATAAGACAACATCTTTGGCATATTATGTCAATTTTATTTTTCAAGACATCCTTCAGCGGCGCTTCAAATTGGCACAGTCATTTTGTATGGTATAGCCAGTCCAGCGTACTTGTATATATAGAGGTCAGTGGTGGTGACCGATAAGAAAACAATTTTTTTTCTCTTGTTGAATAAATGAGAATTTAATATTGTTTAAAATATTTTAATATCTTACAATACATATAGGTTATTCAGGAATTTTTATTGAGTTAGCAGTTAGTGTACACGCATACGTCTAGTCGCACGCACACTAACACCGTGCCGAAGTCTGCCGAGTGCCGAAGTCTGCCGAACTGAAACGACGTTAGACGATGCACGGCTTTCAACGCCACACCTCCGTGCCCGTCGGAGTGGGGAGCGTGAGATTTTTTCGTTACGGAATTTCTGGATTCGGTCCCCGCGCTCAAGGCCCGCGATAGAAGCTATGCAATAGCTTAACATAAGTTGAAACCTTCGATCAAATTGTTGATGAAGATTCGTGAAAAAAAGTGGCGATTCATAGGTTTCGCACACAGGCGCTGTTGGCAGTCGGCGCGGCCCTAGGACGGAGTGTAGAGAACCGTAGAAGTTTCCAGTAAAAAGGGTCTCCAGTTGTCTACACTCACCTTAGGAAACACAGCAGTATTAAGCTTTTAATTTACGCAGGTATTCTGTGAGAGCGTGGTCCTTCCCCGGTCGAGCCGACCCATTCGTGCTACAACTATACTACTAATATAACTGCAGCATGGCTCTATTACGTATACGGCTATTAATTTTATATCCCTTTGTTTTAGTGTCAATGGTTTAAGATTTATAAGTGCAATAAACAGTACACGTTAATTGCATACATTGATCTTATCTAAATAATGTAATCCTTACTACGAGTAAATAATGTATCACCAGCATCTTCTCTAATCAAAATAAATTTGAATAATTTTTTTGAAATCCGCAAAAACTGATCTTGAGGTCGTATTATGTAATAATCTATACTGATCCTATACTCTATGTGGTCGTTTGTTTGCAGCGTAAACGAATTCATCAGCCCATTTCCTACCGTATATGTCGTAAGAGGCGATTATGAGAGATGCCAGAGAAATACAAATCTTCCGATTATAGCGATATACCAATCTCGTTTACGCCAAACGTAAACACACAGCCCGGCGCGGCGCGGCAACAAGTAGCAGCGTAGGAATACTCCGTCTAGGTATATAATGGTTGAATACTACTTGTACTACGAATGGATCGGCTCGACGGGGTTCGGACCAAACTCTCACAAAATACCAGCATTAAAAAGCAGCTTAATGCTGCTGTGTATCGTACGGTGAGTGTAGAGAACCAGAGACCCTTCATACTGGAAACGAGGCATTCCATCTTAGTCCTTACGGGTGACAACGAATTTGCATTTTATTCTTAATCGAGTATAAATCTAGATGTCTATGGGTTACAGCATTCATTTACCATCAGATAGACTGTGTGGTCGTTTGTCATCATTATTCCATAAAAAAGACGTCCGATAATCGTCAATCCACATGCCGGGGTAAATGTTTCCTACAATGAGAGGTCCAGCAAGATCCAGCTTCTGTCATAGGGCCACTAACTCGCCCTATTATGTCCGTAATGCCGACCTACACCGAGACTTAGAGCTCCCAACAATCCAGCAGTTCCTTAAATCACTCTCTGAGAGATTTTTCAAAGCCTCAGAGTCCCACCCAAATCATCTCATTCGTGAGACAGCTGTATGCAGCCCCTTGGATTCTTGGACCCCCAAAGCTTCGGCTGACCTGAACTACCTCCTGGCGGCTCAGGCCGAGCCTACATAACACATCCCTTAATCTGCCTTAGTTAGGCACTCGTCTAAGCGGCTTTTCGCCGCTTGCGCCCTCCTTTCTGCCAAGGAGGGTCGCGTTTGTATACGGCTTAGAGATCTCTAGTTAGACCGTTAAGCCAGTCCCTAAGAGGTTGGGTTTAGTGGGTAAAAGTCTCCACATAACCACGCAGCCGGCTGCGTGGTTATGTGGAGACCTCCATTCCCCACCCCCATTTTCCGGAGGGTTGCCCATATTTGCTTCGGGCGCAAAAAAAAACAAAAAAAAAACAAGATCCAGAATCAGACTTGTATGAGCTGGTGAAGAATAAACGTAATCCATATAAAATAAAGAAATATAATTTACTATAATAATGGTGATAAACTCATTTTTATATTATTTTTTTAAATTTAAAAAACAAGTGAACGAAATTTTTTTTCGAATATAAATTAACATTGATTTAATTGAAATACTTGCGGCCACTTTTGACCGGCTGTGGTATTATCAATGTATTCTCCTATTCATAAACGTATGTAAAAGTGTGTGTTTGACTCACGACGTAATGAACGTAGTGATTTTGCAGCGGGATGTTAGATTATATGTTTTCTTTCTACAAATGATGTTTATTTTAATCGAAAAAAAAAATTCAATGGGTAATCGAGTATCTATATTATATCAATACGTAAAAAAAACTTTGTACCCCTTTTTAAGCACATTGCGCGCATGGAGGAGTATGAGATTTGGCACAGTTAAATTTTATATAAAGAAGAAATGCAGAAAGCTAAAATTTATATATAAAAACACAAATTAAATGTTTTATTTTACATTCATACTGCCAAAAATCAAACACATAACATTCTGTGAGCAAACAGCCACACAGAGTAAAGATGGTCGTCAAAGATATTGAAAATGTTGCCAAATAATTTTACCTATTTTTGAGTGATTTTAAATGTTTCTTTTCCAAAAGTGTGGACTCCACACTGCGGAGTGTAAGCCATGATAAAGAGGCGTTTACTTTATATTTTGTATAAGATATCCGCATGTTGAAAATTAAATAGAGGTTGCTTAATATACAAACTAGATTTTTTATTTAATGTCGAATTTCGACTAATACACTATTTCAAGTAAATTTCGATACAAGCGGACGCAGAATCGTTTGAGATAATAATTGACATTCGAGACAGGAAAATCAAAAATCGTCGACACAACAATACACACCTAGAGATAAAGCAGACAGCAAACAAACAACAAAGACAAAGCTATTAATACCCGCGACACTGATAGCGGCGCGACCTACTTCAATTGCGCACGTGCACGTAATCAGCGGGGTGAGCCGAGCAGTAGTCGGAGATCATAGAGTTTCCTGAAGAACGCACGCTGTTCTCAAATTATTTGTATTCACAAATATTTAGTCAGTCCCATTAACAATTCTAGTATATTACAAATATTTATTTATTTCGTATTATTCATAGGTGCTACAAATATTTTTTTATATAGAATAAAGGTGACAAACGAGCACACAGTCCATCTAATGATAAGTGGATGCTGTGACTCATAGACACTTACATTTATCCTTGATTAAGAATACAAATGAAGGTGCCTAGTTTCCAGTAAAAAGGGTGTCCAGTTCTCTACACTCACCATAGGAAACACAACAGTATTAAGCTGTTATTTTACGCTGGCATTCTGTGAGTGTTTTTTTACGGTCAAGCCATATGTCTCTTGGCCACAATCCACTTACCATCAGTTGGACTGTGTGCTCGTTTGTCACACTTATTCTTTCAAAAATATATTCATAGATCTTATCCAGACGAAGCCGGGAAGGGTTCGCTATATTATATAACCAGAACACGAATATCAAAACAACTATTTTTTTTCCAGATTTTTTGATTCCGTTTAGATTCGCACAAAATCTATTTGCCATTTACTATTATAAATTGGTATGGTTTTTTTGTGTAATACCATTAAGAGTCGTTAATATTTCTAGTGGACCCAAAACCAATTGTCTCCCTTTCATTTGTTTTCTTATTTATTTTTTTACCATTCGCTTATATTACCTATTCTGTACCTCTGAAAATTTGGCCGTGATGATAGTCTTGCCCCGCGAGGCGGTGGTAAGCCAGGGCACGTCGGAGTGCCAAAGCACGCGAACACAGGCCCTTAGTGCGCCGTGAACTGCTGCAGTGGGTATCTGTGGGTGGGTCACCTTGATGGTCTTTTAGCGCGAGGCGGTGGTCAGCCAGGGCATGTTAGGCAGCCAGTCGCACGAGAACACGGGTCCTGAGTGCCTCGTGAACTGCTGCAGTGAGTATCTGTGGGTGGGTCACCTGGATGGTCTTGTCGCGCGAGGCGGTGGCCAGCCAGGGCACGGCGGGGTGCCAGTCGCACGCGAACACGGGCCCCCAGTGCGCCGTGAACTGCTGCAGTGAGTATCTGTGGGTGGGTCACCTTGATGGTCTTGTCGCGCGAGGCGGTGGTCAGCCAGGGCACGTCGGGGTGCCAGTCGCACGCAAACACGGGCCCCGAGTGCGCCGTGAACTGCTGCAGTGAGTATCTGTGGGTGGGTCACCTTGATGGTCTTGTCGCGCGAGGCGGTGGCCAGCCAGGGCACGTCGGGGTGCCAGTCCCACGCGAACACGGGCCCCGAGTGCGCCGTGAACTGCTGCAGTGAGCATCTGTGGGTGGGGCACCTTGATGGTCTTGTAGCGCGAGGCGGTGGTCAGCCAGGGCATGTCGGGGTGCCAGTCGCACGCAAACACGGGCCCTGAGTGCGTCGTGAACTGCTGCAGTGAGTATCTGTGGGGGGGTCACCTTGATGGTCTTGTCGCGCGAGGCGGTGGCCAGCCAGGGCACGTCGGGGTGCCAGTCGCACGCGAACACGGGCCCCGAGTGCGCCGTGAACTGCTGCAGGCAGCGCTCGCTGCGCCGTGAGTCCCACACCTGCACCGTGCCGTTTTCCGACACGGCCGCGAACGTGTGCGCCTGGTGAGGGCTGAACTGAACGTCGCGGATCGACTCCGTATTGCTGCAACCACCTCTAAAGCTCAGTACATTTAACATAATTATCCTATCCTAAGGTACTACTATCTATATATTTTAATTACACAATATTATTACTATACAACAAGTAACAAAAACCGTGTGATCTCGTTAAAAGTGTTATCAAAATCAGAATTCAAAACTTTACTTCAGAAAACTCGCTTATAAAAGGAAATATTTACATTATATTTAATATACCCGGCCGGAAAGTAAGAGTATTGTTAAAGACCCTGCTTTACCGATGCGCGTGTCATTTATAGAGCCTATTTTAAGCAATTGAGGTAAATTTCACACGATCCCCCACGTTCACCCCACAAATTACCCCACGTTCGAGCTGATAATTATAACAGAGGGACTTTAATCGGAAGTCGCATATAATCTCCTGTCTCCCCTAGGCCAGTTGTGTATCCAAAAATGAGCTTCGTATGCAACATTGACCAAAATATTTAACAAACAATGTAATAAATTAATATTATTTTATTGCATTGATAAGTGACCTAAAAACCTAATACATATAATCTAAATCAATAAACACCCAAATATTTGGTCTAGCATTCATTATTATTACTTGTGAAAATTTCAAAATAATATAAATAAGAGCCACGATAGCTCAAGGGCTAGGCGCCAGCTGTAAATTTCACAGAACACGAGCCACCTGGGTTCTATATCTGCTGGCCACAATGAAATTGGTTTAAATTACACAGGTGTTTTCTATCCCTTGCTAGGCGGTGAAGGAAAACATCGTGAGAAAATCTGCATTTCTGAACAAAAATATTTCAAATAAAGATTTATTTTGGACTTCTAATGAGAACATGTGAAGTCACTAATAATGTCATGTCTGTCAGAAATGAGAGAAAGCCTTTTGGGCAAGCTTCTAACATACAGCCTGATTGACTGCGTGGAGGACTTTCTGTGTAAACGATCTCTCCAAGACGTCGACGACGGCTGCTTGTTCGCCCAACAGCTTTACATGATTTCCGAGGCAAGGGGTGAAAATTTATTGACAGAAAAACCCATTAGAAAAATTTTAGCCTTACCCGGGGATTCGAACCCAGGCCCCATATATCAATATCAATCGCGGTTACGACCACTAGAGCAACGAGGCAGCTACATTAGTAATGTGCTTGCCATTTAATAACAACTAAGAATAGGTAAAGAAACTAGCCCCTAAAATATAGGTATAATATCCTAGTTTACGGGTCTAAGGCCCATTGTCAATTTTTGTACGTATAATATGTTTATCAATAAATTATTATTTTTTTAAGCCTGGCATACATAAGCACTCTATTTCTGCCACTCATAACTTGGCGGATTGCGACCGAGTGGTGGTTAATTTTCGAGCTCACACACATCACTCCAGATCAAATAGGCGCGCCAATCCACTCCATTTCTCAGGCATTCTACGAAGCAAGTTCTGTCTGGCACTCGTGTACACACAGTCCCATAAATGAATCCGGCAAATCAGAAGCCAAATTTCAAATTGCAGCAGCTACGGCGTGCATTATCAACAACAACAAATGGAACAAACACTGGCTGCTGAGAATAAAAAAAAAGGTTTCGGTAAAGAGTAATAGTAATAGTGCTCTATAATACGTACGCAAGTACTAAAGGACTAAAATCATTATACCTACTCTAATGACGCAGTCCATGATAACAAGTGTATGCGCAAGCACAGGTGCACTTTCTATTCCCTCACTCTCATAGGTAGTCCGACGGGACGGTAATCCCATACAAATATAAAGAGATCAGATGCAGAAGGAACGGCTTTAACTTTCTAAGGCACATGGATGAGACACTATTAAAATCACCACTCGGGGCTGTTATTGAGAATTTCTCGATAGAAAACCCAACTGATTTTAAGCCTGATCACATCCATTATTTAAAGTTCAAAAGGCTTTCCTCAGCTGAATGCATTTTATTTTCATTTGTTGCAGGATGAGATATAATAAAGATACTTACGTAATTTCGTTAAATTTGAGTTGGACAACATTATGAAAATATTTATCATAAAATAGTATTGTCTTCGACAACTGTATACTACTGCCATTTGAGCACAAAACGGAAAACAAAAAAAATGGTCAAAAATCTAAACACAATGTCGCTATCATTATTTCTCACACTCAAACATAGACAAAATTGTAAAGTAATCTCACAAACAAAGGAAGCTAAATATGCTCAAGATGGTATTTAATTTCTAGTAAACTGCAGATTTGTGCGAGTGACTGAGTTTTATACCTATTTACATAATTTTAACTAATAGTGAAATAATTTTTAATTATAATATTAGCTAAGTGTAATTAATTGTATTTGATTCAATTTTAAATTAATGTCACAGTAGAACCAGAGTGACCGACATAGCACAACGGATTAGTAAGCTGAAGTGGCAAGGGTGGCCATATAGCTTGAAGAACCGACAACCGATGGGGAAATAAGGTTCTCGAATGGCAGCCTCGTACTAGTAGGCGTAGTGTAGGGCGACTCCCCTACTTAATGGAGCGACGACCTGGTAAGACATGCAGGAATTCGATGGATGCAGGTGGATCAGGACCTTGCTTTCTGGCGTTCCTTGGGGAAGGCCTATGTTCAGCAGTGGACTTGTGAATGGCTGTAATGATAATGACGATGAATTCAATTTTTGCATGTCAGTTTTAGCAGAACATATCAAGCAAATAAATTTTCTTTCTTGTAAAATACATCATATTTATAAGTGGTAGAGCCTCACTGAAGCTTTGTTATGGTTGTAGCACCCTTTTTTACTGGAAACGAGGCATTTCATCTTAGGCCTCAGGGGTGACAACGCATTTGCGGTTTGATTCTTAATTGAGGATAAATGTAGATGTGTATGGGCCACAGCATCAGCTTCTGTCTGCTCGTTTCGTCTGTGTGCTCGTTTGTTACACTTGTTCTATAAAAAAATACATAGTGTAAATTCTCAGAATACTACAGCTGGGCACAGGATTTTCCTCATTTTTGAGAATTTTGGAGCAGAGAAGTCTGCCTTGCCTACCTTATTTGTGTTGTGAACTTCACATGTCCTTGAAATATTTTTTACTGACATTAAGATGGTAATTGCAATTAACAATTATCAAGTGTCAGTGGAGATTGATTTGATCAATAAACAGGGTTGCATGCATAAAGTTTTCGACAGCCACTTAGCCCAAAGCTTTCACAGCTTACAATATAAATTAGTACATAATAACAGCGATTTATTCTAATGGATCTTGTGTAACTTTATACTGACCTCATGAAAGTACGAGCAACCTCTTTCATGCGAAGGTCGAAGCATTTCATCATACCATCCTGCGACCCAGAGATGAGGAGAGATGGCTCAGTCAAATGGAAGCTAACCTAAATAAATTGTAAAAACTATTACAATACTTACTTTTAAAATTTATTAGTTTTTAAAAATAATGTTATCCTCACACTAATTTTCTTATGTATTGTGGAAACATTTAGCTACCATGAAATTCAGATCAATATAAACATTGATCTGAATTTCATGTTAGCTAAATTTAGTATTTACATACAGCCACTATGTTGGTAAATACTATTAGGGTATATATGTATATAAAATAAAATGTTCATTAGCAAGTTTAAAACAGTTCCCTTAACAAAACATTTTTTTGAATATAGATGATGACCTTGCCAGTTCACAATTGTCCCAAAAACAAAACATACTACACACATTCCGGATGTACATGAAGAAAAACAGCAGGCCATTAAGTAACCATCTCGCGCTTTTCTAAGTCTGATATAATAATTACACACACAAGAACTAGATCATTTCTGCAAGTGCAAAGTTTGCAACTCAACCCCAAAAACTATTATTGGCATCAATTTGGTTTTCAACCATTTACTTCATTGGTAATAATTTTATCAGCCTAGAAGGCTGGATAGATACCACCCTATTGCTTATTTCTACTACCTAGCAGCAGTGGATGCACAGGTGTGTTAAATTTGAAGGAGTATAGAAAGCCAGTATAATACTGTAATACTGTGAGCCATTCCAACTTAGTCCTCAGAGATAACAATACATCAAGAGCTTTCTTGTTTAAAGATGTTTAAAGGTGTCACTTATCAGGTAGACTGTAATGCCCTATATATAATTATTTGATACGACTTAGGGACCTTCAAGAAAAAAGCCTACTACTTTTTAAAAGGCCAGCAAAGCATTTGCAATTCCCCTGGTGTTGCAGTTGTTCATGAGCGGTGGTAATCACTTACCATTAAGTGAGCCATATTCTCGTTTGCCCCCTCTCCTATAAAAACAAAAATATCTATGCACTGTAAGTTTGTTTCTCACATTAATTACTTAAAAAAACAACCAACCAGCCAAAAACTATGAAGTAAGCAGCATATTCCCACTTAATGTCTCAAACCCCTAGCAGGCTCAGAAGCCTGCGTCATATTCCGTCAAATCTCTAGCGTTCTCATGAGACCGCACCCACCCACTTTAACCCATAAAAACTTATATTACTTTCCTATGAAGAAGATTCCTATCCTCTAATGCAATATAAAGTAGTTAGTTTATGGTTTTTTGTTTATAACCTACGTTCATTTCGTACGCCTACTTCGTGTGGCGTGTTATTGTTGATATTTGGATTTTTCTAATGTTTCATTAGTGTTTAGTATAGTGTTTTATTATAAAATTGTTATAAAAAGTTTTGTGTCTTTATAATATTTTTAATTTTTTATGTAATTTATTAAATTATATAATTTATCTTTTTACGTAAATAATTTTGAGTAATATGTAAAAATAATTGTGATATTCAAGCTGCTGTCCTGTGCTGGGTATGTACATTTTTAACTATGAAAATACATTTAAAATCTATTTGTAATGAAATAAAAGCACTAAGACAAGTAATATAACATAATAAATAAACAGAAACAAGTATTATATTGAAATTTATAATTAATATCATTAAAAAAATGTAACACAAATTCAAGGTTAGGTTATTTTTAGCGATGCAGCGTCACACGAAGCGAGCGAGCGATGTCAATCATTTTAGCTGGTGGCTGAGGGGTTCATGTGGTTCAACAGTTCAGTGGTCAGATTGTTAAATACAACTAAATCACAAAAAAAAAACAAAGAAGTTATTGATCACTCCTTTGTTTCTCTTATGATAGGTATAGTATAAAAGATTTCACATTATTGAAATGCCATAATCCACATCCAATTTTTTAAGCAACATTCTTAATGGTGCACAAAACTTGAATTATAATGTTTTGTATTTTATTATTAAAATAAAAACAAAAGCTGAAATACACATTCCCTACTAATCCCTTTTAATATGAAAATGGTTTCACTTATGGTACATTTTTTTTAAAGTTTTTATACTGAATGATATGCTAGTTAAAATTATGTATAAATCAACATTTTCATCTCAACACAGTCACCATTCTACAACACTTAAAAAAGGGGATCTCCTCACCTTATTTACTGTTCTTTTATGATCAGAGAATACATGTTCTTGTTTTGAGCGGCCAGATTTTCCCAGGTTCCATACAACTACTGCTCCATTAGTTGCTGCTGTGGCTAGAGTGTTCTCTGAATTAAAATGTCAATGAGTTTACTTTTATTCTGTATATATATTCTAAGTAGTTAAATGTCAGCACATACCTTCAATAGTACTCCAGGCAACATCAATGGAAGAAAAGTTTAAATTCAAATTTTTTCCCACTCTCAGATTACACACCTCTGAGAAGTCATTCTCGCCTATAGAGAACACTTTAAACACTGAAAATTAGGGAACATTCAATAAAATTCATATTTAGTAATTGTATTTAAACATATATTAAAAATACATTTGTCGTGTATTATTACCATTTCTTCCAGCAATTACTACTTGTGAACAGTCTTTATTCAAGGCTAACGCATTTGCGGGACCCTCTTGCGACACACAAATGGTGTTAGAAGGTATCATTTTCGCGAATACCGAATATTATAATTTTAAAAATAGTAAGACACTTTAAACTATAAAACACATATCTTAATCATTACTAACACTAATATTAGCACCATTCTAGTAATACAAAGGGATCGTTAATGTCGTGTAATTTAAAGTGGTCAATGATAACACATTTATTTTAGTGATCTAATACACATTTATTTATTATAGTTGCTTTGTATTTGTAACGCTAAACTTTCGTCTTGAATTGTTATGGTAGTTGCATGGTGGTTGTCACTTGTCAGTATCAATGAAGTGCTTTTTTTTACTAACTGGCTTTCCGGCTCTGGGTTCTAGCTCTTCTGAGCCTAAATAAATACAGTGCACTGCTAGGGTTGCCGTTCTACAAATTTTAAAGTCCCTAGACTAACAGAAAAAATCCGCCAGAAACATGATTTTTCTTTTTCTTAAAATCTGCTAGAAGTCCCTAGGTACATTTTCGTGATAACTTTGGTCTAACTGAAAAATCTTGCCAAATGGTATACAAAGAATACCGAAAATATGAATCTATAAATTCAGAAAACCTTAAAAAGAGCGGACTCTATATCGTATAAATTAATTATATATAGTGTAGGTTAATGACATGACAACCAAAACAAAAATTATTCATGTGCGAAATAAAAAATATTGTAAAAAAATAAATCTCTTTAAACCACGTTTAAACATTAGTCATCTTATTAAAAATAAAACAATTAGCTCAGTACGTTTTTGTACCTAAATTTTAAAATTAATAGCGAAGTATGGATCCACTTCAAAAAGAACTTCAGCGGAAGTTGAAGCTTCGCCAATGTCTCCAGTTCCCATCTTTGGTTTACCTTTACCGACTTGGTTGACAAGATCTTCGGGAATATCATACGTTGCGCAATTCTTTTTTTAATCCTTAACTGATTTATAATTAAACGGATGGAATTTAAAGGTTTTTCTGATTGCTTGTTTCACAGTTTGCTTTTAACTACATTCGTAGCACCAAATACGCGTTCAAATTCTGCATTTGAGTGCGGTAGTGATAATATTACCATTGCAATATTACATAAATCTTCGAATATGTTTACTCCTGCTGCATTTATGTATGTCGAAACCTTAGAACATGGTCTCAGGTCGAAACAGAGAAAGTGAATTAACGACATTGCATTGTTACTTTATGTTCGGGAATTCCCGTGAAATTATATTATATATAGAGTGCTACCAACGGTAGATTACAAAATTGGACATATGATAAATTACTTATTTGAAATGAATTACTTCATAAAAAAAGTCGCCATCTCAAAAGTCCAAATGTCGCTAGAAGTCGCTAAATAATTATTTCTCCCTAAAACGATTTTTTTATCCGCTAAACATTGTTAAAATCCGCTAGATCTAGCGAGAAAGTCGCTAAAACGGCAACACTGTGCACTGCATGGAGGTTGGAGAACAGGAGAACGATCGCTGCTGTAGAAAATAGTGTCGCGGGAAAATGGATGAAATAAGTGAGGCACTGCGATCGCTAAGTTGTTTCAATAATTTTAATTGTTATAAATATTATATATTATTACAAATATAAATTATTAATTATTGTTGATTTATTATTATTATTATGTATAATTTTTACGGCCCTGAGTTACCCCGACAAAGGTCGATTGAGCTAGGGCCCATAGTAGCCCAATTCGACGAATAACAGAGGGGAGGATCCTATGACCTTAGGATAATTAAATTATAAACGCTAACAAAGAAGCAAGCATCACTTACCGATTGGCGGAGGTAGGGTTGACCACGGGTTACCTGTCAGGTGATAAGTGATGTGCATGTAAGTAATGTGCAGTAATGTGTACAATGTGTAACCTGACATCTCCGCTGATCCTGGACTGCAGATCCCAAGGCGCTGCCTCTCTCCAAATGTGGGATCCATCCAATTGAAAACTTCACTATATTAGTTTATCAACTTTATTGTACATTTAATTAACTTCAAATTCAACCAAATCAACGTTAATTGACATTAAAAAAAGTGACACGCTGTACAACTTGAGGACGGTTGGTCAAAGTTCAAAGTCCCAGATTCACTTAGCACAAAACTATAACCACGAGAAGAACGCGGTCTCGTCTCGAGGCCCAACGTTTAGCGTTCTCTCGACAAAGTAAAAGTCTTGACACGCTATCAAACGACGTACTAATAACTCGTCGATGCAATTAACGGCATAAAGGTTCCTTTAATTACTCCAAGCTCTAAGTATGTCCTTGTCACGTAACACGTTCAAAACAGACAACTAAATCGATCTAATTAGACCCAAAAGTTCAATAGCAATTCAATGGGGGCATAATAATACAGATTTTTAAAATCCAAACACCGGCCGCCCTCAACCGTATACTAGTCAATATATATCAAACAATACTTAAAACGGTTACAACAACAATTATATTATCTGGCCTCGTTATCACGAAAAGCAAATTAAGATAACACTTTAGGAGGCTCGTGACGGACCGCCGCGTAACAACTACTATGTAACGCCCGACGTCTAACCGGCGTGGTGTCACCACTCAAGGATTCCGGCCGACTGGGGCACTTGCTGTGCGCGTACGACACAGCAAGCCCCCGCCTCCCGCGCAAAGCTAACCGTTCCCTCACCCCGCTAGAGATTATTGTGATGATGATGAGCCAGATCGATTCACCAACTTATAAGCTGGCACAACACTTGGCAAAAGTACTGTCACCACTGAGAGGACATACAAGAGCACACACAAAGGATTCATACCATTTTGTTAGTGAGATAAAAGACCTACATCTCGCTGACAATGAAACTATGGTCAGTTTTGATGTTCAGTCACTATTCACATGCCTATTGAAGACTGCATATCAATTGTAACTAGAAAGCTAGAATATATTAACATGCCTGCTGAATATGCAGTATTACTCAAACACTGCCTCACATCTGGCTATCTATTGTGGAAAGAAGAGTTCTACAAGCAAGTAGATGGTGTGGCGATGGGCTCACCTGTATCTCCCATAGTCGCCGACATATTCATGGAGGACTTCGAGGAGAAAGCCCTTCTTACTGCTCCTGTAAATCCAAGATTCTACAAGCGGTACGTAGACGACACTTTTACAATTTCACCATCTGACAAAGTAACTGCATTTTTAAACCACCTTAACTCTATAAAGTCTAAAATACAATTCACAATGGAGTTAGAGGAAAATAATTCTTTAGCTTTCTTAGATGTTTTAGTCATTCGAAATCCTAATAACACAATTGGTCACACTGTGTATAGAAAAAAGACCCATACCAACCGATATTTAAATGGTGAATCTCACCATCATCCTTCACAGTTAGCTACCGTGGGTAAATCTTTGTTTCAGAGAGCACGAGGGATCTGTGACAGAAAATATCTGGCCGCCGAACTTCAGTACGTCAAGCAAGTATTGCAAGACAACAAGCTTCGGGTCCCGCGCCTACGTCACAGTGACCGAGTGAAGCCGACCACAGTCGAGCGTGTACCTGCTGTACTACCATATGTCAGAGGATTCACAGACAAGGTTGGCTACATCTTGAAGCAAGCTTCCATTAAAACATACTACAAGCCGCCGAAGAAGATTAGTCAATTTTTATCATCCGTCAAGTGTAATATCCCTCTACAAGATGCAGGAGTGTACAAGTTAGATTGTGAATGTGGTCTCTCTTACATAGGTCAAACAAAAAGATCCATAAAAACCCGCGTGAAAGAACATATAGCTGACGTGAAGCACCGACGCTCCGGGAAGTCTGCAGTCTGCGAACATGTTCAAGATCGTCCCCACCATTACATTCGTTTTGATAAACCACAAATTCTCGCAAAAGAACACCGATTCCTACCAAGAATGATACGCGAGGATATTGAAATTAAAAAACATCCAAATTTCAATAGAGAAGATGGATGGGTGCTGCCACCTGCTTGGGATTCTATAATTAACAAAATTAAACCCAAACCTAAGCATACCGCTGCAAGACTTCGTGATACTATAAGCTCGTTTTGCGTAAATCGTACCAAAAATTAATATTCAAAAACTGAAGGTAGCCGGTCTAACTATGACATTGGGACGTCAAACATCTCAGTCCCTCCCGTGACCATGGGTGCTGTAAAGCACCCGAAACGTCGGGAATTAAAAATAAGTAAAAGTAATGAAATAAACGCGATAAAACCCGTAAATTTAGTTTTATTCAATGTGTAGTGTTCGCGTAAATTTAAGAAATCATTATAAAAAAAAATTAAAGTTAAATATTAACTGTGCAACATTTTTATATTACATTGGACGCGTTGCTTAGAACTCCACATCTTGAATTCATTTGCTTATGAAAATAGACACGATATTTAAAAATGTATAGATAAAAATATTCAACTCTTAGAATGATAACGTATGGCAAGCAAATAACTTTAAAGATTATCGGCAATCGTGCAACGCTTCGCCAAAAGCTGTATAAAACCATAATACTATTTAGCTATGTGTAATCAATATTATATCATAATCACATTACATAATGTGTATTTTTAATCCCCACAATGACAAAATGTTTTAGATGTATGATTAAGATCGTGTTAGTGATTAACTCATCATATCATAAAAAAAAACAAGAAAACAAACACGATCTATTATTAAATAAATTGGAAAAAGTAGGAATAAGGGTTATTACGTTGCAGTGGATTGCTTCGTATTTAACAAATCCTACTCAATGTGTCACGGTAACAAAATTGATCTATAAAGAAGTTAGAACATATAATTCCAACTACCTTAAAAATAATAATGGGGTTCCACAAGCTAGTGTCTTAGGGCCCATATTGTTTATATTGTATATCAATGATAAATCTGATGTGACAACTCATGAATCGATCACATACTGATGACATTTCGGTTATAGTTAGGTGTAAAAAAAATTCAATATATAATCACGAATTGGATGTAAATAATTCAATTGATAAGGTAGGTAATTGAATGGCTACAAGCTCATAACTTAAAAATTAACTTGGCAAAA